TCCAATTACGATGCTATTATCAACTGCACGGGTCTGGGTTCGCGTGAGTGTGTTAAAGATAACGGTAYGTTTCCGATACGTGGACAAGTTTCGCGCGTCAAGGCAAATTGGCTGTATTGTGCGCTGCTGGATGAGAGCGACGATGGCAATTATATTATACCAAAGTGAGTAGAAAAGGAATTTTGTTACTACTAATAACTAGAAAATACAGAAGGAAGAAAAATAACCTCAAAATTAAAAAAAAAAAAAGTTTGGAGTTAAAAATATTAAATTTGACAAGTGAAATTTAAATGATAAGTAATTCATTCTTTTCAATAAAAATTGAAAATATTGAAACTAAAAATATTAAAATTATTCTCGAAACTAAATTTTTAATAATAAAATTGAAATACATAACCTCAAATTCAAAAAAATTTAATTTTTAAATTAAAAATGACAAAAGCATGCTCAAAAAGAAATTMTTTTCAGGACCAAATTTAAAATAATGAAATTTGTTACAATAACCTCAAAAACATCACAAAGAAATTTCAAATAGAATACACTTAACCTCAAAGTTTAAAATATTGAAATTAAGTATGAGGAAAACAAGCTCAAAACAAATTATTTTTAAGAATAAATTTGAAATAATAAAATTATATAAAATTGACTTCAAATTTCAAATTTAATAATGATTTAATGAACCTAACCTCAAAATCTAAAATATTTTTATTTCAATATTATAAAATCTAACTTAAAAGAAAATGCCTTTTTAAGATTTATTAATTTAAAATAATGAATTTGGATGCAATAACCTCAAAAACTTCACAATTAAATTTCAAAACTCAAAAAACTTAACCACAAAATTTAAAATATTAAAATTAAAAATGATAAAATCAAGCATAAAACAAAATATTTTCAAGACTAAAATTTRAATAAACAAATTGGATGCAATAACCTCACAATTAAATTTCAAATTTCATAAACTTAACCTCAAAATTTAAAATATTGAAATTAAAAACTATGAAATCTAGCTTAAAATAAAATATATTCAAGATTAAATTTAAAGCAATGAAGTTGAAGACAATAACCTCAAAAAGCCCAAAACTAAATTTTAAATTTAATAAACTTAACCTCAAAATTAAAAATTTGTATATTAAAAGTAAAGTAACAAGTCCAAAACAAGTCATAAATTATCTGTAAAACTTAAAAACTTAAAAATAAAATTTCTTCAAAACTAAATTTAAACTACCTAGTTTAGATAGACCTAACCTCAAACCCAAATTACAGTTGTGATACCGTCGTTCTGGGTGGCACTCATCARGAAAACGACAGCAACACGAATGTATGTCCGAATGACAAGGCATTCATTGTGAATGGCTGTCGTGAAATTTTGCCTGGTCTGGAGCATGCGCAGCATCTGTACGATTGGGTGGGGCTACGACCCGGACGAGACGCGCTGCGTTTGGAGGCAGAAAAAGGAGGTAAATGCATGACAAGCCAGGAATATTTTTTAATTTTAATTTTTGATATTTTTTAATTATAATTTTTTACATTTTTTATCTTAATTTTTGATATTTTTTAACCTTCACTTTTACTGCATTAAAAGGCAAAAAAATCGTCATCCACAATTATGGGCACGGCGGCAGCGGTGTCACCTTGGCTTGGGGCTGCGCTGAAGACGCGCTACAGCTGCTGAAAAACGAATTGCAAGCGCGTAAGCTTGTCAAATCGAAATTGTGAAAAATAATTTTGGCAAAATAATGTGAAAACTTAGGTTATATTTGTAAATATCGACATTTATAATAAATTTATTAAACAATAACAAAGGCTTAATTGTTATTGTTTAATAAATTTATTATAAATTTTTAATAATTGAAGGGATTACAACCAAACCCGTGCAAGTCGGAAAATACGATTTTTTTTTAATTTTTTTAAGTGGCAAATAACCTCAAAGCTAACTTTCGAATTTAGTAAATTTTAAAATTTTTTAATTAAATTTTAAACCTAACTTCCAATTTGATATATCGGAATTAGAAATAATGACAACAAGCTCAAAACAAATTATTTTCAACACTAAATCAAAAATAATGAAATTRCATACAATAACCTCAAAAATCTCAAAGCTAAATTTAAAATTAAAAAAAAAAAACATAACCTCAAAAATTTAAAATATTTAAATTAAAAAAAAATAAAAAAGCGCAAAAAATTTTTTTAGGTGGCAAATTATTTAATAAATGAACAAAAAAAAGTACATTAAGACAATTTAATAATAGGCGATTAATTTTGAAAAATTTTGAATTTCCTTGATCCCAAGATGAGCTACAGAAGAAACTCCGCAACAGGCTGTCTGACGGTTCGGAAGATTTTTTTGCTTAAAATTGGCTCAAATTAAAAATGCTCTTACCACATGTAAATAAATATTATTATTAGAGCTGAATATGGGTAATCCACGACAGTCGGGTGTAAGTAACTGGAACGGACTCAGATTTTTATCCGGCCAAGGACTATCAACTCGACTACATTCCTCAAAATCTCTTCAGCAATGTTTTATGCCGCTAAAGCAATAACAACAATAGTTAATGATCGAAGTACATGTAAAAAAATTTTTTTTGTGCCTTAAAGTCGAAATTATTTTCGAAAACCTTATTTCATCCACGACATAATTCCATCGATCGTTACTTGACAAATATATCTAAGAAAGTCGGGTAAAAATCCCTCATATCTCCGAGCCTAACGAGTTTTTCAATAAGAGCTCCACGAAAATCTTTTTAAATACAACAAAAACGGTTCATTATTCGAGGGAAGTTCATCAGCCGTCGCTGGCTTGTTGGCATAGACTTGGAAACGACTAACAGCGTCAAATCGCACGATCGAAGCCGCCAATTAACTAGCCCATTTCGTGACTTAACACGTTCACCTAACATGGTTTTCAATAAATAGATTGTGACAATCGCTGTGTGGCTTGTGATGCCATCCTGTTGAAGCCACATATTGCCCAAGTCCATGCCGTCCAATACGGGCCAAAAATATTTGCTTATCATTTCGCAGTAGCGATTCCTATTCACAGTAACTTGCCCGTGTAGATCATCATGGAAGAAGTACGGCCCAATGAGGCCGCCAGCCAATAAACTGCACCAAACCGTAAAATTTTCGAGATGCAATGGCGACTCATTGACTACATTTGGATTGCTGCCTCACCAATAACGCATATTTTGCTTGTGGCTGAAACCATTCAGCCAGAAATGAGCCTCATCGCTGAAGATGATTTTTAGTTGAAACTCCAGATCATTTTCAAATTGTTGGCCAGCTCAATTCACGAACATACGACGATTCTGGTGTTCAAGCGGCTTCAKTTCTTGTGCCAATTTGATCTTGTAAGGATGAAGGCCAAGATTTTTTCGCAAAATTCGATACAATGACGTCACAAAGGGGCCAAACGCTTGAGAACGACGTGTGAGAGACTGACTTGGCTCTTCCTTAATTGATGTGCAGCAATATTCTCGACACTACGCGCACTTCTTTGTCTGGCACACTGGCACGGGAACATTTTGTACTGTGCCTGTGGATTCAAATTTTTCCTCTAGACGCTCAATTGTTGATCTGTAAAGACGTTTATGACGACTATAAATTGGASGTAGCGCTCATAAAGTTCAGGTTGCTGACCCCGAATTTCGGCAGTAAATTTTAATAATTTCGACTCGTTGTTKSATCGTATATCCYTCAATAATGAAATGGTTAACCTTACYKAAGAGAAATGTCAAAAGARCGAAAAAAAAATTTGGCATCATCTGCTACTACTACTTTCGAAAATTCCCCAATGAAAAACCCGTTATGTGTCGCAACTACTTAAAATTTTCACAGAATRTTCTCAAATATCTGTACATACGGTATAAACCCAAAATATATTTATATACTTATATTTTTTTATTCATAAGTGAATATAACCTCTTAAAATAAAGTGATTGCTTGAGTGCAAAGCGTGCGTTTTTAGCAAAATTTTTTACGGATATTTTCTACATTATAGTACATATAAGTATATTTCCGTTATTAAATTGTACACACTTGTATACATATCTATATACACACATACTCTTAAATATAATTGAGTAAATTTCGTAGCGGGATGTAAATTCTTTAGCAGTAATATATAAGCCTGATTCAAAAAAACAGCTCAAAATAATGTAATATATAATTAATAATTATAATTAAGCTAATTAGTGAGCATATATGTATATACTTTATATTTAAATACTTTAACACACGTATGAACTAAGTAAAGAGATGCTTTACTATGTCTATACCTATACACCTAGAGCATATCCTCATACTTGGTTAATTGCAATTTTACATTATCACTACTTACTACTGTGGGCAAAAAATAGTAAGAATTTTTCATTTATATTAGATTGTCAAAAAAGTGTTGCGGCATTTTCGCTAGTTGGTGCTGAGAGCGCATAGTTCTAGTTTTATTCGTCGCATCGGGTCATGCTATACGTTTTTAGAAAGCTCATTTCACGCGCTAACACGTGTTTGATTGCTTGTCGTTTCTTTTAAGTCGTTCGTGAGTTATAGCGTCGTAACATGGAGCAAAATAAAGAGAAAATAC